CAGCAGGAAAAGGGATGTTTGTTTAAATCCCACACCATTTTCAGGAGCTGAACGAGTTAGCTAGCAGGCTGCCTCTAACCAGTCTGAGCCTGACACGGATGCCTCCGTCCACTCATTGATTCAGGGCCCTGTTCTCTGATATGCTGGAACAGCATCTTGTTAAGTGAGCAGGGACAGGAGTGAGAAGAAAGGGACAGGGTAAATGAAAGCAGCGGTACGTTCTGAATCAGGGACCAGGGGGGTTCGTTCCTCTGTAACACTGTGGCAGGAGACTCAAGGAATAACTTACGTTGGTTTAAGCAATTCAGGATGGAAAATAGCTTCAGTCCCTTGTGAATCTGACATGCTTCCCTTAGAAACACGCTAACAGAACAACATTTTCTAACACAAGTGCTCCCATTAAATAATGTAGGAAATCCTGCCCCTCCCCAGGATTTTAGAACCAGTCAAACTCTATTATACAGATTCATTCCCCAGATTACCTAATAGCTTGTAGACGACCACAATCCCCATTTACTGTGAGATTTGGTTGCATAGGATTAGCCCTGATAGTCTCAACCAGCAGAAAACAGCTGAATTTTCACATAATAAATTCAGGAGGGTGAGGGCAGCTGTCAATCAAGACAAACATTTGAGAATCTGGGGGAAGTGATGAGGGAGGCGAGAGGGATTTGCTCACTAATTTGCATTGGTTTCAGTCTTGCAACTAATGCAGCGTTGGACATAAAATGTGTTTACAGAAGACACAGGAGGCATCAAAAATTCACTGCCTTTCAGGTGAGAGAAAAATAATGAAAATCCCCTGGGTTTTTTTTGTCAAATAGTTCTCTTTCTTTGCTCAACCCTACTGTCTCTTTATGAAAATAATCATTATTTTCCTTCTGGACAAGTTAACCATGATGACAGATGATTCAGTGAAGCACATAATATATCTGTTCTCTAAACTAATCAGAAAACAGCAGGTTAGTAATGGACCTTTTTAATAGCAATCATTCTGGTGCCCTGACACATGCCAATTGAAACAGCTATATGTGTCTCAATCATTTGCTGTAGGGAAAATAGTGGCACTGTGATAGACCATCCCGGATCGTTGTCTCCTGCTTCCTCTTAAATACCTGTTTTCTCATGAACACTTCTCCATTTAGATCCTATTCCTACCCCCACCGAAATCATCGGCACTGGAAGAGAATTCTTTTCTGATCTGTGCAGTGGCTGATTTATGCCAGTGAAATGTGCCATTTAATGACCCACCTTATCTTCAAATACACAGTTATGAATAGAATTAGGTTAATAAAAAATGGCCAATGGTAACATGTAACCACGGTGCGGTCAAAATATCCACTGTTTTTAAATTGCAAGCTCAGCACTGAACTACACAAATATGAGCCCTGTTCATCTTAGACTGCCTAAGTGTTTGAACTTAGCATCGGTTTGTGCTTCAGCCTCTGACTCAGTGGAGACTTTGCTTTAATTGTGCTTGCGTTAGTTTTTTGGAAACTTCCTCCTCCCCCAGCATCTGGATATTCAAAGCTTGATTTACACTGTGCTTTTTAATCATAAAGCTGGCTTTCTCAGCCCATGGTTGAGACGAGCTGTTTTGCTGACTTGCTTGTTTGGCTGGACTCCTCTCTCGCCCTCCACAACCTCAGCTTTCTTTTTGAACAGGTCAAATGGCTAATGCAGGTACAGCAGCCCAGCACCACAGAAACCATTTTCACTTGTTTTTTTCATGAGGAAAGACTGGCTTTTAATGAATTATTTTTAAGCTAGCTGGACAACTATTTTCCTGTATAATACCATACTATTTCCTGTATTTTCCATTCTTGTTTTAAGCATACTTCAGGTTTTTACAGCATTGCTCCAGACAGCTGTATTCAGGGAAATATTCCCAATGACAGTTGCCTTCAGAGTATACAGCGAGTTCAGAGACCATCGGTTTACCTTAGACTCAGACTTCTGAGTGTATTGTGTCAACTAGTACCTGAATTCTCCCACGTGTATGCAAATCCAGGTGGAGTTTCTCAGCATCCGTTATATGTTTTAACTAATTAAAAAGCTTTATCACCATCACCGATCTTCAATCCATTGTCTCTGTCCTCCAAATCACTAATATACGTTTAATAAAATAAAACCCCCTAGGATATCTGCTCTCAGCCTCTATTCATTCAGAAAGGAACTTGAACAGGTTACAGAGGCATAAGTTTCCTTACAGAAGAGCGAGATGTGCTCAAAACTAAGCAGTCGTTGGCCTATCTTTAGAATCAGTTTTCCTTTGAAGGAGATGATGTTCAATCTAATTCCCAAGATATCCTTCATAGCCTTTTATAGTAAATTTCCTATCTTCAGAAAAAGTAATCGGTTTTCAGGCGATATTACATATCTCTAGCAGTAACCGTGCACCTTCACACTTTATTTCTCTTCGAAACCTCTGATGAATACAGAGAATCAGAGAAGTTAGAAACTAGCATAAGAAATATTCTTTGCGGTATACTTCACTGTTTTCTTTGCAGTCTAGCGTTAACTGGTCTGAAGCAAAGGGGATATCACAAATCTTTTTGGAAGATTATTCTACAGTCTAGTAGCTCCATTACGAAGTTTTGGTAGATATTTACCTGAAATAGTCTCCCTTTAGTTTTAACGTCGTACCTCTAGTTGTGTCTTCTTACATCACCCTGAATAATTACTCCCCAATGACCAGGAGATCGCTGTATTCCCATTTAGTTACTGTTTACTCAAGATTTACACTGCAGATTTCTCCATCCCCTTGATCTTTGTTGCTGTTGTGGCTTTTCCCCAAAGTCTCATTAGAGGTGTCCAAAACAGGGCTCATCATCTCTTTGGTTCAGATATGCAGATTCTGAACGCAGCATTATTTATCAGGAGTGCCCTACAACACTTCATTTCAAATCCAGAGATCATTTGCTGCCTGCTACCACCTTATGCCTTGTATTTCCAATGGCCGTTCTCCAATTAAGTATCATTGTTTAGGGTTCGCTTTCCCCAGATGTATTCACTCACATGTAAGGCAGGTCTTAGCAATTTAGTGCAGATGTTTTTCCAGCTGGCCCGATAACATCTTCCTTTCAACAGTTTCTATTAAGGACATGGTTTTGATTTTGCATGTGAAAGGAATTATCACCACTTTCAGGAAAGTTTGATCCAAAATTCACATGCAATTTAGCAAATATAGGCTCATCCTCATTAGAAACTCCCTTGGAGGTTTTCACCTCCATTCAAAGCCCCTACTTTGAAGATGCAAATGATTAATGATGAGTTTTTCGGAATATAAAGCAACATGCCAGTAACGGATGCCGATGCCATGTTGCACAGCATGTGTCATCTTTCTTACTTAAGACAAAGGTCTGCTCTTTGATCTGCAGAGCAAGAAGCATATCTTCAGCTGATGTAAACTGCTATAAGGCCCCTTTATGTCACTGCATCTATAGCAACATACAGCAGCTGAGGAACTGCCCTGAGATCACTGTCATCCATTGAGATCTCACTCTGTGCAAACCCACACCGAAGTCCATGGAGCTTTGCATGAAACAAGTGTGGAAGGTCCAGCAAAAGTCTGCAGGACCAACCAAGAGCAGCATTTTGCCTTTAAGTTTAACGTAAACCATTCTCCACTTCTTGTTCCTCCCACCCTCTATTCCAGGCTGGTTTAAAAAAGGCTGCACAAACACTTCAAATTCAGTTATATCAGCAAAGAAGGGATTGGGTTATCCTTGATCTGCGGGCTGAGGTTCCCCTAAGCCAGGGCACAACTTCCTTGGTTACAGAACCCTGCACCTGGAGCTTTTGCATTGAGGAGAAGACATCTCTGTCCTCAAGGTGCAATGAAAGGCTTCTCTATTCAATCCAGGCTAGGACCATTTTAGTTTCACTTTATGCTCTTTATTTTGCCTTAGGTCTGCTACAGGGAATGGCTATTTTTTTCTGGGCACTGGGCCCAGTTCTTGTTTAATTTTGTCTGCAGATTGTAGTTTTCCCAGATGCTATACCGAGATGAGCATTTTATAAGTTAATAAAAAACAAATAAAATAAAATCTGTCTGTTGTCTCCAAGTAATAACCAAAAGCCTTGTCCTTTTTAACAGAAGGTTATTTGCTGCTGCAGCTACTGACTAGCAAAATATATATAGTCAGGTTAAAATTATAAAGAATAAGTTAAATAATTTATGGGAATCACATTAATACATTTCTAGTGTCAAATGCACCAAATATTCATGGGACTGTAAAGGAGATAACAGCTTTGGATTCTACTGTCAGATTATGCAAAGGGACTTTATTTTCAGAATTAAGGAATTAAAGAGCAAGGCAAACTCACTGTGTATTCTGGGTCCCAGATTGTCCATTGGAAAGAGAAGGCAGGGGAGAAGAAAAAAAGAAATGCAGAATAAAATAAATGATGCAAACTATTTTCAAATTATTTCAAATTATACAAATACTGTTAAAATAATATGAAAATGCACTAATAATATATAAACTCAGTCAAATCATGTGTCGAATGACATGTGAGTGTGCAATCCCACTGGAGTCTATGGTACTGTGAGTGGCACAAGTCAGCACAGGTTTTTGTATGTAGTATCTGAACATATAAAGTTTATAGAAAAGTCTTAAAAGGGGGAGAAATAGAATGGATAAAAAGTTTCTGTTTTTACTCGTCAATTTGTACATATTAAGCTAACCATATTTTTTAGTAACAGCCAATAATGGGAAATGAAAATACAGAACAGTTAAAGAGGAATCACTAAAATACCGTAATTTCTGCTTCTATGTATGTGGCATGGAGGCTTCGAGGGAAGACAAAACTAACCACACAGTAAATGTCTAGTATTTGCAGTTCTGCTTGGGTCCTTACCTGTGATTGTGTAAGGGTAATAATTCCAAGCCTTCTCTGTAACATAAAATATCCTGGGAACGACTGCTCTAGCCCAGCTAGGTAGCTTGCTGCAAAGAAAAAGAAAATCCAAGATTAGGATATTTTTAGCTGGTAAGAGCTGTAAGATACTTCTATTCAAGTTCCTAATTTGACACGTATCAAGCAGGACCTATAGCAGCTCATAGTAACTTCCAAGGTATGAATGCATGCCTTTGAATCTTCTCCTTAGACAGATATACATGAAAAGATAAGCTATTCTTCCCTAGAAAAATGAAAAGTGATGACCTCTGATCTGATTTGGTTATGGCAGTGCAGGGGTGCCATGGAGTGCCATGCAATATTAAGTGTGTAAATGTGATTCACAAACCATATCAGGTATAGGTATATCAAATAGGAATCCACAGTGTCAAAAAGCCTCTGACCTGTTGTGCGCTTTCTGAGTTCTTTGCAACAGAATGCTCTATTATTTTTCCATAGTCAAAATATAAGTGAAAGCTGAGAGCTGGTATTTTACAAGGGATGCCTCGAGTCTAAAGAGGTTGAGAACCACTGGCTTATAATGAGGTTTCAGAACAGGCTTCAGGTATGGACTTGGAGATTCACTACCTTGATCCTGAAAGAAATGTGCAGAGGTCACAACATGCCATGCATACTTAACACAAGGCAGACAAGGTTCCTTGGGTAAATCTGGTATCTTTTATTAGACCAACTCAAATAGTTGGAAAAATTCTTTTTAGCAAACTTTTGAGCACAAACACACTTCATCAGGTTGAGGAAGCATCTGCAGAGGGTCACTGCTCTTCCTGGATGGAGTGGTAAAGCAGCCAGAGGCCAGTAGTATGCAAGAAAGCCAGTCAGTGAAAATATAAATTGAGGTGGTCAGTAGGTGAGAGACAGGTGGGGGGCAGGGAAGTGGGAATGAATGTATCTGTAGTCAAAGGATGGAAGACAGGAGGTGGGGGTGGGGAATGAGAATAGCTGGTAAAAAAGTGGCGGGTTTGCCTGGGGAGTCAGATGTCAGGGAGCTTATAGTGTCATAAATCCAATGTCTATATTTAGTCCATGATTTGTTGTATCCAGTAGGTTGATGGAGTGAAGTTTGTAGGCTCGTCTGTGAAAGGTGTTTTGTAAATTCCTTTTGAGGACCAGAACTGAGAGATTGGAGAGACAGTGGTTTTCTTGTGAGAAATGTGCCTCCACCGGTAATTGGGTATACGTGTCTTTGATAGGTTTCCAGTGTGCATTCATTCTGGTGTGCAGTTGTTTGGTTTCTTCTACATATTTTCCATCAGGGCATTTGGTGCACTGGATGAGATATAGTACGTTTCTGGAGGTGCAGCTGTAAGATCCAGGAATGGTGATGGCTCTCTTGTGGGGTGTAGCTGTTGTGGGAGTGGTGGGGATGTGTTGGCAGGTTTTACATTTCTTGTCCCGACATGGTCTGGATCCATTGGGAGCATTTTGGGCCATACTTACCACAAGGGCATTCTTAGCCACAAGGAGGCAGTCTCTACCAAGAAGTAAGGAGGACGTGTAGGACATGGACCTACTCGTTCTAATTCTGCCTACGGAGGTGCTTCTTCCATGTTCTTTACTGATGCACAAGCTTTAATACTCCATTAATAACTGAAGGGGGATTTTTTCTGGATTAATAATATTATATAGTAATCATGTAGTTTTTATGTTAAAAGTAACTAACTATTCCTCACAGCATCTCTATCAGACCAGCCGGCACTAGCCACCGAGAGGAAGACTGAAGTTTGAGATGACACATAGGAGTACCATTCAGGGTCCTGTGCAGCGTAGCCTAGATCAGAGTACGTGCATGAAAAGTTCATCTAGCCTTCAACAGAGTCTATACTGAAGCATAGCAAATACTTTCAGATCTCAATCATCCAGATGTAAATGGAGAAATCAATCAAGCACAGCTGTTTGTGACTTTGGATAATTGAGGGAATTTTCAGAAACATAAACATGTATCAGGAGAGAAACTGGACTTTTTTCATAATTGAGGTTGGTTTAACCATGAGTCAGCTTCATATATAAACATCTGTATTTGCAGATATTATAACATTACCTACAAATTCAAGGTCAAACTTGCTGACTTTCTCTTCTGCAATGACATTGTTGGGAGGGTGTTTTATTTTTCCTTACACAAACCTTCCCTGCAATCAGAGGCTACCAGGCAGGGGATCTGAGACAGTCTGCATAAACACATTTTGCTGTCTCATTATTTTTTTCCCTGTTGTATGTCTTTTTATTACTGCATCTTTGTTCCCTTCTCTGCCCTTGCTGAATTTCACTCTGTCTGATGTTTACTAGCCCAAATGAATGGGGACGATTCAGGCTTTCTGATTCTGAAGATGGCACTCTGGCACGGAAGAAGATTGCTGGTAAGCCACTTGGCATTGGAAGCTTGCAAGTATTAACTGCTGAAGAATAAAACCATGTCTACACAGAAAGGTTTTACCAGTAGGACTGGTGCCAGCCTACAGCTACTGATATTGCCATTTTTTAGTGCATGTTCACAGTTGTCTGCCTTTGTCAGCGCAGCACAAGCTCACTGCAAGCGGCTGTATGGACAAAAGGCATGTTGCGCAGTAGACTGATATCCCTGGGTATAACTCCAGGGGACTTTTGCAGAGTACCGTGAGATACCAGCAAACCTCCTAGGGAAAATTTCAGTGGAGGAACAGTGCCAGCGCAAGGTGTACACCACTGAGGGAGACAGCTTAATTTGCCCAGCATAAACTCAGGGTTTTCCTGACTGGATACAAAATTGAGTGCATGCTCATGCCAGAATATGCCAACTTATGGGAAATGTTATTTGTGACGCTTCATAGCATGAATCAATAAAACGCTATTCAAAAAACCTACTGGTCACCCACAAAATCAACCTTCATCCAAGATCAAGAAAACATCTGATTCCCCCATTAAAAAAAAATAAGACAGAGACAGAGATTGCTTTACAAGCACAATCTAAGTTTCTACTGAAATCCTGTGTAGCAGACACAATGTCATTTTCCAGGCTGCCAATGCAGAAGCAAAACGAATGTGAAAAATCAAAGCCTTCTACAATTCTAGAAGAAATGGGAGGTGCACTCAATTCTCTCACTTGACAGGCAGGGACAAAGCGAGCTGTACTTGGGTTCACATACAAACGACAACTTGTATTTGCTGAATGCGGTATTTCTTTTCCATTGCCAGCTTGCGCTTGCACCTTAAAGGAGCACATAAAGGACCTTCTCCAACCCTTGAATGATCCACGTAAAGGCTAGCCATGTTGGTACTCTCACTGTGCTAAGGTGCAAGAGGCCTTGGGGAGGGCAAAAAAAAAAAATTAGAATGGTAAGGCCACGTAACTCAGAATCCCCTTATAAAATGGGTCTGGCACAGAAGGGACTGCTTGCTGTACCACAGACGGGGGCACAGCTGCAAACACGCATGTGTTTTGTGGGCTGGATCTGGCCTGTGGAGCAACTGGATCCAGCCTATAGAGCTGCAAGGCATATCCACTGCTGCCACCTCTCTGTACTACCTCTACCCCTGCCCCTTTCCCCAAGGCTGCGGCATGGGCACAACTTCCAGCTAGGAGGGAGCTATGTTGGGACCGGAGAGCCCTGCCTGTGCCACTGCCGCTTCTCCCCATCACCCTGCCCGCTTCCAGCTTCCTGATCTCAGCGCAGCCAGACCACTACAACCAGGGCACGGGGAACTGGGAGAAGTAGCTGTGGTGTGGGGGAAGCTCCCAGTTCTGTGACTTTGGCAAACACCAGCACTGACGCGCTGTGGCAGCCACCTGGCCTGCTCAGGATTGAGCTGGTCCCTGTGAATACAAAAAAGGAGCAGGATTTGAGAGCAGGGCTCAGTTTTGGCATGTGGGACGTCAAGAAGGGGAAGCAGAGATTAAGGAGCACAGTTAAGGAAATTAATTTTCTTGATGCTTTAATTCCCCTTGACTTTCAAAGTTCCTATTGACTTGAATGAAACAAGTCTGTGGGACTGAAATTATCTAAAGAAAAACAGAAGCTTTCTTAGTCAAGCAGGTTCCATCCAGCTCCGGCTCCCGGGTCACTATCCTTCACCATCAAAGAAGCCGAGCAATTCCATATTCAATAGTTTCCCCCTGTATTTTATTTGTGAAGAACACTGTTGCCAGTTGTGACATTTAATTTGTTGCAGATCTGACTCCCTCCATACGCTCACTCCAGAGGCAATTATTACCTGTCAAACATCTCCAAAAGAGAATGGGATTGGTAGGATTATTTTATTTGACCCTGCTCTAATTAGTCTTAGACTGGAGCCTTCATCCAGCAGGAGCCACATTCAGAAACATCATTTGAACATTTGCAGCAATAAACAATTCACAAGCTTCCCTCGAGCATCCCAGTGGGGCTATTCCTTAGGCTCGAAAGCCACTTAATAGAGTTTTTCCTGACAAAGTGAACATTTTTTTTCCATGCATTACTAATTTAGTTTCCATTTAGCAAAGCAGAAGGAATTAAATCAGTCCTTACTGTGGCTGTTATTATTATGATGAACTCTGTCAAAGGATTTGTAAAAAACTAAATCTATCCACTCCCTGCACCGACCCTACACAGCCCAGCCTGCTGGACGGAAGGATGCTGGAGCTAGAAAAGAGTCTTCTCCATAGGAAATAAAGCAATAACTGAAGTATACTGCGGTAGCCCAAACAATACTCCCATTTGCCTGGACCAAGAACTCTTGCTCTAAATGCTGCTGGACCTGAATGGGAGCAGATCCACTACGCCTTTACATGGAGCTTTGCGTCTGGGACCCACGCACAGAATTCCCAACTCCAACCTTTTCCCGAACTTCTGTGCTTTAAAACTTTTCTGACTCCACCATCTGGGCCTTCAAGTGGCTTTGAGATTTGGAACCTGCCTTTGGGCCCAGCGGCTTTATTTTGGCTCCTTGCTCTTTAAAGGTTGCTGACCTCTGTTTTATAAAGACCCAGGAAGCAGCTGCAGAGAGAAGTGGCCCCAGGTGGAGGTTTATGGAGATCCCAGACCACCCACTCTCTCAGGCTTGTGAACAGAGCCCTGAA